ATTTTACGGATGACTCAATTTTAATTTCTAACACAGTAAATATTAGTAGATACAATTCACAAAAACAAAGCACGGTTCCCTCACTAATTTTGAATGTAAAGGGATCCTGAGACCAAAGAGTTTGAGAACTACTTCCCCCCATAGGACATCGTTATCCTGTTTGTACTCTTAGGTCCTGGTGACGTGTACTATGAACTTCCCCCGCAAGCACTCCGCAGGCACTCCAGCATCACCTTCTGCAAACACATGTGCCTAGCTGTCTGACTGCCACCACAGGTGTCCTGTTGTCTGAATGATTTGATGGTACCCATGTGAGGGACACAGATTTGTCAGCTGCATTTGCCTTTTGGAATCTGCCCACAAGCTACCGTCCTCTGAACAAAGTTGCTAGACCTTATGCTAGTGTATATATGACTCTTAACTTGACTTCACAACTCAAAACAAAACTTGTGGTTCCATGGACTTGGTCATAGACTCCCTCACTTGTATCTTTACTGAGAGAGATCCAGTACTTTTGTCTTCTTGGCAGCACAAGCTCTGATGCAGGACAAGGTGCTCTGTGTCCTAAGGCACCATGGGATCCTGCTGCCAGCCCACCACACCGGGGCTGATGCGTTGGCCAAAGGCTTCACTCAATGCACTTGGGAATTGGAAAACTGAAAATGAGTTCACTCATTTCAGGAACAAGTCCTGGCGTTGCTGAAATCTATCCACTTGAACACATAAATGGACCATAATTGAAAGTATAAAATTTTGAAAAGGTAAGAAGTACTCTGAAAAAAACAATACAAACAGAAGCCTAGACTTAGGTCAGATACTTGGAGAGACTTGAAAATTGAAGGTCCAGAGTCAATGCGCAAGGAGCGATCCTGGAACCAGGTTCAGAAAACCTGGGGGCAGTGTTGACATGCTGATACCATCACTGGAAACACAGGTAAAATTTGTGTAGGAGCCTGATTTATAACATCTAGGGAGAACCCCATGCCCCACAATGACTTGGAAACTATATTTCTGGCCCCGTGGGACCACCCATATATGTGACATTAATTCTGCACTAAGGATTATGACTCATGTTCTAAATATAAATACATTTACATTTCTATACTTCTGATACTTGAGAAATTTCTACCCACACCATTACCGTTGGGCATCATTATTATAATATTACACCTGAAATTTCTAGTTTTTAAACTTCATCTTATATAGTATTCTAAGCATCACTCTACAAATACTATTCATGTGAACCAATTAGAGTTATCACGCATAGCACATGGTTAATTTTTCTATGAGAGATATAGACATCAGATGCTTTGAATCAACAGGAAACTCACTGGAGGCTGGAGGTACTTAGGAACACTGTGAGGAGCAGGGGAAGCTAGGATGTGCTTTATAGCACAGAAAATAGTTGGGAAAGCATTTCAGGTGGGAAATAAGTTGGACAAATGGAGCAACTTTACGTAGTGTAATCATAAGATATAAAATAGGCTGCTCTTTCTATAGCGGGAGCAATGTGAGGGGAGAAAAGGTTTAAAGTTTATCAGTTTTCATCACCGAACTTCAGCATATACGAGATTAGACATTCATATGAGAGTTGGAAGAATGTTCATTTCAGCAAAGGAATTTATGGGGGTAGAGAATGCTTTGGTTTTCACATCTCTTCCCCAGCGAGGGGGTGGAGGGTCCTCTGCACGAAGGGCACTGTGGAAGGCTGAGACTGTTCATGGAGATTGAGAGTGTCTGTGAGAGGCTAGGACTGGCATCTCACTCCCAGATAGACATTTGCTGAGCTGCAGAAACTCTTGGCCTCCCAGGTGACACAGTGGAGCATGGAGTGTGGGCAAAGTTCATAGAAACCTCATAATACATCTCCCAGAGTGTGGAAGTCAATGAAATCACAGAGATTGGGGCCAAGGTCATGCCTGGAGAACTCTGAGGGTGCAGGGATTGGAGACCCTACAATGGTGGATGTGGAATCAAGGCAGCAGTGGTGCAACCTGGGCTCACAGTGTTTGATGTGCAAAATAGCTGAATCTCCTTAGGTGGGTATGGCGAGAAGTGGCTTGGCTGGAGCTATCACGAAGCAGCCTGTCCAAGAGGCAAGGGGACCCTAGTGATTAGAGGTCATGGATGGACCACGAAGAGTAGAAACCAAGTATGTAGTGGGGAGAGATCAAAATAGGTCATACAGATTGCGTCTCGCCGCATGTTAGATGCTGCACACGGGCCTCTAAAAAACTCACTAATCTGCCCATAAGAAGAAACCAGCACTAAGGGCCTGTCACACTGAGGGTACTACTAGATGCCATAGCATCAATCCCATGAGATACTTTGCCTTTTCCTCTAATTCCCATCTGGCCATAGAGGAGACCCAGAAACAGGCAAGGAAGAGGAGGAGAAGGCAGAAGTGTGAAAGCACAGACTATAATATCCTCCCCACTGCTGGGAAGGAGAAAACTTGACATGGATGTGAGAATGACATACCAATTTAGACTATGCCAACTCTTGAAAGCTTCTAAATGACCAGGAAGTGATAAGATCTGTTGAGATATTGGGTAAGAAATTGGTTTCGACTCAGCATTGAGGGAGAGGGGCTGAGAAAGATTCAGAAGAACATTAAAAGCCAGAAAATGCTGAAAAAACATAGTAGTGTCTCACTTCACCTTGCCCTGACCTTGTTAGAATGATGGATGGTGAACAATCACCTTTAATATTATAATACATTATTGATTACTCATTTCAGAGAAAAACTGAGAATCAGTTGGGGTGAAAAAGCTAAATCTGGGCCCCACAGGAAGTTTGAGGTTTTCTCACTTTAGCTAATCTCTGAAGGCTTTAGAGAAGGTGGCTTTGGAAATTCTTTGCCGTAGGACTGAGAAAAGTTTAGCTCAAGATAAGGAATAAAAGTGTCTATAAGATCAATGGGCCTTATTACATAACAACAACTCTTTATATTTGCATCATAATTCATAATTTGTAAAGGGGCTCCCATAAATGATTTATTTGCTTCCACTCCTGCTGTGAGGGAGGGGGGAAGGGAATCTTTGCACCCTTGTTTCAGAGACAGAAGGAAGACTCAGAAAGGTTCAGTGACCTCCTCAAGGCAACAGAGTTTTTAAAGACATGGTGGGGCTTGGCCTTCTGATTCACGTCCTGTTACCTGTGTGTTTCAGCGTACCACCTCCTGAGGAAAATCAATCTTTGCCATGGTATGATGGAAAAAATAAAATAAAATAAACAAAACCCCACTGACTTTAGAGCCAGAGAAGTCCTGGGTAGGGATCCTGATTTCACCGGTATCTACTTATGTGATCTGGAGCAATTGTTTTTTGTTTCTCTGAGCCTTAATTTCTTCACTGGTAAAATGGAAGAGTCCAGAGAATGCCTAGGAAAACACCTACTACAGCAGAAACCTATAATTTCATACGCTATCCCATGTATCAAAACACATGTTGTTGAAGATACACAATTTTTATTTGTCAATTACACCTCAATAAAGCTGGGGGAAAAAAAAGAATTGGCCATTCTTTTCCTTACAATCAACACACCAAAAATATGTCTCTGATTTCCTGAGTCTTCTCTCAAAAATTCTTCCTTTTTTAATAATAATAATAAACTAACAATAAACAAATAAGATGTCTTGAGGTTGTCAATGTGTTAAAGACTTTGCATGGGACTGATTAAAAGGAATTCCTCATGAGAGTTGTAAGATTCAAAATGGAGTCACTTGTGTCAAACCCTAGCTGCTTATATAAGAACACTGGCTCAACATCCTGTCCTACAAACCCATTCCCGAACCCCAAGGGCCTAACAGTAACTGCAAGGTCACAAGTCTTACCTAGCAACTACTGACATTCGCCAATCAGAACTCACCAGCTCTCGTAAACTGTTGCCAGAACCAATGAACTTTCTTTCAAAACAGCTTCCCTAAACTCCTCTCACCCTGATAGAACCCTAAACTGAGGACATATCTGAGGCCACCCTCTCTGTGCCTATGTCCCAAACTGTAATTCTATTTTCACATTTTATTCCCAAATAAAAATTCTTGTATTTATTTTTTTGAGATTGGTCTCTGTGGTTTTTCTTGCATGTTGACAATTTTTAATTCTGCCTTTGCTTTTCTTCTTATCCTTCTTTCCCTGGGCCTGGAGTGGCCAGGTGGAAATGTAGAGTCAGTCAGAAGCAATAATGAATTGACTCTAGATGCCCTGCTTGGAGGTGGAGCTCAGGAGGAGCTCCGTGCACAGGAAATAGAAGATGTGGGCAGAGTGGCTACATAGTGTGCCTCTGTGCAAGAGTGAAGTTGAATGGGGATTGTACCCTTCATATATTAATACCACTTTTTCCTCTTGCTAATTCTATCTCCTCTTACTTAAATTGGTAATGCTTAGGCAGTTTTTGAAGGAGAGATTCATACTGATTGATTGCCTACCAAAAGAAAATTTTCATCTTCCTTAATCAAAGCAAAACCCAGATCCTTGAAGGTGAGCCAGGCACAGAGCCTCTCCAAGGTGCGTGTGTTCGCACATAAAGGTGGTGGTGGAGGAAGAGCAGGCAGACCTTGTGGTCCCAAATCATGCCCTGTTGGGTTAATTTCTCCTTGGTGTTCCCTGATGAACAGCACCTCCCTATGCTGACCTCCGGCGGGAGAAGTGGAATGCTGCTTTTAGTACTCTGTCCAGATGAATTATCGTCATTTTCTCATTGTGGAGCACAGCTGAGATAAGGTGGAACCACTGAAAGTTTTAGGAAAGCACAGTAGGCAGGAAACAGAGTATAAGAATAATGATAACTTTCTTTATAAGATAAAAACCCATCTTTCTTCCTTGGTTCCCAGAAAAACGGTGTCTGGGGTATGTCCGCCTGTTAGTCAATTTTTTCTCTTTCTTAGGTCCTGAATTTCCCCTTCTGTCTTCTGGGTCCCAACAAGATGGCAATTAGTCATTGGAATAAAAGGGCATTTTCTTAAACCTACTAAAGCATAGACCTTGTGCTGAGTATTTTTAATTCCATAGGCATGTGAGGTAGATAAAACAAAACGAAACTGTTGTTCAGAGAATGAAGCAACTTGTGTGGCGCTTTTTAGCAGGTTAAGCTTTGGAGAAACTATTGCGATCCAGATCTGCCTGGCTGTAAATACTTTAGTAATTTTAAACGTGCCCTGAGTAGGAGCCCCTGAGATTCCTAGAAGCTGCTTTAGGGTAAGGAAAGGTCAAACTCCTCCTTCCCAGCTGTATCAGAATTTGCTTTGTTTTTTTCTATTTTAT